GGATTGTACATTAACATAAAGCTTGTTGGAGCCATACTGAATTTCACCAGAGAAACACACACATACATGAAGAGAGAGAGGTTGTGCATTGTATGCAAACGGCTACCAAACAGCCATCATAATTCGCCACACGATGAGAACAGGACAAATCAAGAATTGACAATGACTAATATTGTGCTGAACACGCGCTCTTTTCTACTCTGCAATATTCGCATCAATTTTCTTGATATTTATTTATAATCACCTCTGTTAATCCTTGATATTTATAACTGAGTGATCTGTATATATTAGTGCTATTTCTTAAATGTGTGAAATCTGTAACATAATGTATTGTTTGGAGTTTAGTCTGTTACTGTTACTATTTTTACCATTTCTTCTTGGAGAAACTGTAACTCACATAATTTCCTTAGGGATTAATAAAGTATTCTGATTCTGATTGTTTCAGGATGACCTGCCATTATCCAATGACACATCTGCTTATCTGTATCTTTTGCTCGTTTCTCCTCCTCTTCTTTTCTCATTTTTATAAACGGAGCACCTGATGGCTTTGAACTTTTCTTGTCCATCTTCCATTGGTTTTAATTTTGCACTCCAGTATGAACACCCATCCCCCAACTCGAGGATCGCCACAACATAACCTAACACACCTCCACCTTAGTTCACAGATTCACTTTGTCGACGGTTTATTTCTGGGATTTCCCAGGATTCAAATCATGAATACATAATGGGCCTGGATTTACAACATTATGAATGAAATGTGCTCTACTTGGAGGCAGCAGGCCCCCTCACCTTTCGATGTGTTGTGTGTGAGACTTTAAATCATCAAACTGTAAATTATAAATTTTAAATTGTTATTGATCCCTTTACCCCGAGTCCTAAAGTGTATATTTATTTTCTTACTCTTCTTATATTTATTGTTTGTTTACTTGTACTGCTGTAACTGGAGCCTCGTCGTCTCGTCTCTCTATATACTGGACTGTATGTAGCGGAGATGACAATAAAATGGTAAATGGCCTGTATTTGTATAGTGCTTTACACATCCAGTCATCCACCCATTCACACACACATTCACACATAAAGTTTACTTTGACTTCAGCACAGCAGCGAGCAGGCGCACTGAGGGCTCTCGCGCTCACTTTTCACATATAGAATTTTGAAAAAACATCAGTGCAAATTATAAGTCTGTATCATGATGTCTGGTGTTTTCATGTTTGTTGGTTTGTTTTTATTTTGTGTTATTTTGCGAGTTGGTTATTAGATGCTGCTCCAGCCAGCCAGAGAATCCGCCGCCCTCTCCTCCCTGCGCCGCAAGCAGCAGGCGCACCTCGCAAACGGAGGGCGCCCTTACTCCCAGCAAATGGGCGATAGAAAACCAATCGGTGCCTACGACTTTCCCAATATGCCCTGGCATGATGTCGGGGCAGCATGAGTACGAGTAATTTTTTTTTTTTTTTTGCCGATGCCCGTGATGCCGCCCCCGGCAACTGCCCGTGTCGCCCGTATCAAAAACCACTACTGGGTTCAAATATGAAAGGTACCCAGCTGTATTGATCATCACTTTGTAGCTGATGATTGGTCACCAATGAACCATCCAGGCTGAATGGTCCACTTGAATATATTTGCCACACCCCTCATATGTCAGTCAATGCTATCCTTCACTCTAATTGGTAGTCTCTTCAGTTGCTCCCTTCGAAGCTGAAAGGTGGGTGGCTGTGGTTCAGGTGGGGAAGCGAGTTGTCGACCTGTCATGAAGGTCGTTGAATCAGTCTCCCGGCTCCACTATCTGTGCATCTTTGCCACCCAGATGAACCCATCAGAGTGTCTGTGTAAATGTTTGACAAAGTGTTTTGGTGTAGATAAAAGCACTTTTTCAATGTTTGTGTGATTAGGTGAATGAGGCTTGTGTTAGAAAGCGCTTTGAGTGCTCAAGTTGAGTATAAAGGCGATATGTAAGCACCAGACCATTTACCGAAAGTTTAACTTTGTGTCACCAGCAGTCATTTCACCTGTTTTTGCTAAATGCTTTTGACTTTCTGTCTGTGGTGAGACAGTCCTCTGTGGATGGAAAGTAAATCATACTGTGTCATATTGAGAGAATAAAAAGTGTGTTGTACAGCTCTCCTCAGGCCCTTTCATATGATATATTACTCCATATCGTTTATTGAAATGTTTTAGCGAACCTTGGTATTTTTCACCCAAGGCCTATTATACTGTTGTGAAGTTTGAAGACCTTGCATAAAAAATTGTGTTTTTTCTCATTTTTAACAGTTGGTGTGACCTTGACCCTAATTTTCACCAAAATTAAATCAGCTCGAGCTGTTATTGGTATCTACCATCACATAAAATTTGAAATTGATATAGAGAAATCCGTGGACGCTTGACTACAACAAACAGAGAAACAAATATAACTGATTAGGGGTACTGCCACAAGAGGCAGACACAAGCTCTGCACTGCAGTTTAAATTGACGTTATTAAGCGTAACGGCTCCTCTTCTGCAGGTTTGTCACCTGGGAGGGATCCAGCACCTGGTGGACCTCCTGGATCATAAGGTGGCCGAGGTTCAGAAGAGCGCCTGCGGGGCCCTGAGGAACCTGGTGTACGGCAAGGCCACCGACGACAACAAGGTGACGCTGAGGAACTGCGGTGGCGTGCCTGCCCTGCTCCGCCTCTTCCGGAAAACAACTGACAATGAAGTCCGTGAACTGGTCACCGGTACGTCCCGATAGCCTTGACTTGCCAACCTAATCTGCTCATTTACAGCTTCTCCCCTTTTGAGCCAACTTTCTCCTGATTGGCTGCTTCTCATCAAAAACAGAAGGTTTGTATAGCAGGTGGTGGGACTTCTCTGCCTGAGACGACCATATTAGGGTTATCCCCTCTCACTGATGTCATACAGAGCCAAGAGTAGAAAAGCTGTGTAAAAGTGAGTGTTTAGAGCAACCTGAAGCCTGAACTCACAGGGATTACGTTGAACCTCAATTGTGAAAAAGTGGTGACACTGTTTAAAATGTAAGTAAACAGAGGAAACAATCATTTGTAGATCTCGTTAATTAAATGTAATGATTGGTGGGAGGTTTTTAATAATGCAAATAATGCTTAAAGCTAAAGTTATTCCCGAACTGTGTTCAAGTGTTTTTCTCAGTGTGATTTGGGAGATTTTTGTCATTTTACTGTGGGGAAAAAAAAGGATTTAAATGAAGATGTATTTATAGTGTTGGGGTTAAATTGTGGAATGATGTTTATGGGCATAAAAATGTGCAATCAAATATATTTTTGAGGGTTACATGTCAGAAAATTGTAGCTCTTTTGTTTGTTAAGGTTATTTTTTTCCTACTTAGAAGGTACGGTACCTTAAATGATAAGAATATAGGCCAGGCATAAAACTAGCAGGTGTCATGTATTAACATTAGAATAAATGGGAACAGTAGGAATGTGTGTGACCCTATCCTTGTCCTTAATGCCTACTACTGCCCAGAAACTACACGGGGTACCTTTAATTATTTATAAAAGCAGAGAAAAATCTAGAAAACTGGATTTAACTAATGAAAACATTCATCATCTGTATGTTTCCAAGCTTTAAATTTTTAGATTCACATTCAAATATTCATAATTGCTAGAGACAGTCATTTAAAGTAAGTGCAGAGGTTTAAGAGAGTATAGTATTTCTAGATTCTGGTTGATTTCTCCGACTCATAAATCCTGTCGTTCCGATAAGGACTGGTTCTAACCATCTCTAAACTCAGATGTGCCTTTTTATTCCTGAATGGGTGAAATAAGCTAACACTATGGTCCACATCGACAAAAAAAGGCTCAGAATAATAGCTTGACACGATAAAGTCTGGTGTGTGTGGGTGTTCGCCTGCCAGCGTGGTCCGTTGACTTCCCGGTTGGTTGGCCGGCCGACTGGCCGCCTTGCTGGCTGAGCATCGGTCTGCGGTGCCGTCTGACTGCCTGGCAGTGTTTTAATCTGTGTATCGGCTGTTCTGTGGGAGGTGTGAGCGGCAGCGGCTTAAACACTCGGCGCACAGCGCTGAGCAGATCTCGGCACAGTCCTCGGGACAGATGCTAAGATAATGTGCTTTGGAAACAGGACTCTGCAGCCACACCACACATACTGTTTGAAGGCATTAGATAAGAAGCTGCTAGACACGCTTCACAAACCACAAAGGAGACTCTTCTGTCTGGTGAAATGCTTCAGAAATGTTCTATTTTTAGCTCAGGTTGGGACTCTGATTATTAAAGGTGCACTTTGTTCTTTGGTAGCTGCTTAAATTTGATCTTCCACACCCCAAAACAAATTGCACTTAATAACATTCAGGAACAAAGCTGCATATTTAAAAATAAAACACTTGTTTTTACTGAACTCAAAGCTTTTTTCCCATTATTACTCTTTTATACTTCGTTTATGGAGGATATTTTTTACGTGAAGCCTTGGACATGGTTGGCAGTTGTATTCAATATAAAAAATTTTGCTTCCAAGCAGCAATAACTTTCATGTCATTTTAACCTGCTCTTGAGCAATAGTTCTCTTTCTAAAGGTCTTTTTGGACTTTTGGCTGATTTTTTTTTTTTTCACTCGTTTTCAGTCCAGTTCTTATACCTGACCATTTTCAGATTGTAAGCCACTTAACTTCGACCTATGAATGAATCATTCAAGCATAAAAAAGGCACCTAACACTGAAATGAACCAGTCTTGTATCTACACATAACAGACAACTAAGCAAAGATTTTAAATTATATCTTGAGGCACTTTGTTACTAGCAGCCTGTCACGAAAGAACATCTCTTGTTCCCATTTCTTTAGTCTATGAAATCTGTGAAATCTGTGAAAAATTTCAAAGATAACACAGTTTGACAGACATAAAATAGTATTTTTGTACCAACAAGGGGATTCCCAAGGACCTATTCACAGAAAGCTTTGCACATCTCAGCTGGTGTACAGTGTCAGTCGTTAAAGAAGAAGGAGCAGGTCTACAAGGCTTCAAGAAGCAGTTCTTGGCTCAAGCGAGGTATGAAAATTACTGAAAATCAGTGGCAACAGCTCTGATGGAGTGATGAATCTAAATTTTAAATCTTTTGCTCAAATTATTGATCTTATCTCTGCTTTTTGCAGACGATGTGGTTCTTTTAGCTTCATCCTCCACCTCACACTGGAGTGGTTTGTGTGTGAAAAGAGTGGAGTGCCTGCTCTGGGCTGGGAATTAATTGACAAGTGGAAGAGTTCCAGTATCTCAAGGTTTGAGTACAACATTTAACTGAGCCAGTTGAGGTGGTTTTGGCATCTGACTAGGATGCCTCGATGGTGCCTCATAGCTGAGGCAGTTTGTCCAATTGGAAGGAGACCCAGGACACGCTGGAGCGATTGTACCTTTCGGCTGGTTTGAGAACACCTTGATATTTCCTTGAAAGAGCCGGAGGAGGAGGTTGCCAGGTAGAGGGAGATCTGGAGATCTTACATTGCTGCCACCACAACCTAGACCTGGATAGACAGCGATGGATGGATGGACAGGTAACAATAGTTTTGACTTATTTTACTGTGTGCATCCACTGCAGGCGTCCTGTGGAACCTCTCCTCGTGCGACGCGGTGAAGATGACCATCATCCGCGATGCTCTGACCACGCTGACCAACACAGTCGTCATCCCCCACTCAGGCTGGAGCAGTGTTTCTCACCGTGACGAGCACAAAGTCAAGTTCCAGTCCTCCATGCTGCTTCGCAACACCACCGGCTGCCTGAGGTAAGAAACAAATCAAACGGCCCCCTCAAACACTCAATAAGTCAGCGTGTGTTCATCGCAAAAAGCAGCTTAAGTCGTAAAATGATGATAGAATCGAGGAAAAGAACCAATTTGAAATATGGTTGGTATTATGACGTTATTCATCAAACTTTGTCCGCGTCACATCAACACATTAAACACCTCTTTAGCCGAAACTGTCCTCAAACCACGCAAATCCATCCTCATTTCCACCCTGAAAATAATCGCCTCCTAAGCCTGCTGAGTAACCCGGCTCGCTGTTTGCTTATTCAATTGATTCTGGTTTTGAAATGCAAGGACGACTTTTGGATTTATTGGTTGTCTGTGCTGCTTTTTCTCCCCTTCCCATCTACTTTTCATCTTAACGATTCTGTAAAACCACAGCTCATAATCACGGCCGTATAATCCGTCAATAAGGGGCTCTGTAATGGAGATTTTATGCAGCCGTGAAGTCTTTAAGAAACATTTGACCATATTGGCCTACAGACGCAAATACCAGAGAAAGTGTATCTTCAAACTGAAAGCCCAGGATGAAGGTTGAGATTTATTACCTGCAAATTTTAGCATGCAGAGAAAGTTTTAAGGCCTTGAACTCATTTGAAAGATGTAATTTAGAGTAGAAGCTCCTTTTATCCCGTATGATTTAGTTCACTTCAGGATGTTCTGGTAATAATTGGGATTAGATCAAAGTGGCATATGGCAGAGTCGCACACTGGGGGCTACAGAGAAGCCGCAAGAATTAAACGCTTTAAATTTCCAAATCAAGACATATTAAAGTGTAAATAGCACATGACTATTTAAAGACAGTTAGGGTTAAAAGTAAAATAGGGGATTGACATCAACATGGCTCTAGTCTGGGTGGAGTCTCGTTCTCTTTGGGTGCTTCGGCAAGCTCCAACAGTCCAAAGATAGTTGGTCATAGGTGTAAATGTAAGGTCCATTAAGTGCTTAAGTGCACAGAAGAAAGTGCTGGTTTAATGTACCATACATGAAAATATCTACTGTAAAGGGCCGTGAGTGGTTCTTAAGACTAGAAATCACTTTATTAATAGCGGCCGCACTCATCTGAAGAAGAAAGGACTTCCTCCTTCAGATCTGAGGTTTTATGTAGCAGCAAGTGTGAGCGGCTCTATAAAAACAGAAGTTTAGTTTGCTGGTCTGAGACACCAGTCTGTGAAGGGTTATAGATGTCCATCGTTCTACAGTGAGAAAGATTATTCACAAATGGAGAACATTTGAGAGAGTTGCCAATCCTCCCAAGCGTGGACGTCCCAGAAAATTCACCCCAAGGTCAGACCGTGCAATCCTCGGAGCTTAAGTGCTACATCTCAGACTCTACAGGTTTCAGTTGGCATGTTAAATATTAAAGTTCATGACAGTACAATTAGAAAAGGACTGAATAAGTATGGCTTGTTTGAAAGGTCTGCCATGAGAACATCTGAACAAAGCACAAGGCTTCTGGAACAATGTCCCTCACTTACTAATATGTGTGCGAATGTTGTTACCCCGAACAAAGAAAACAGTTTGCGGGCAAAATTGCCGTCACATTTATGCCACATGTGCACCAGCTGATTTTGTTCTTACAGCTTTGTGTATTTTAGTAAATCAGACTCATGCTAAATCAACAGAGCATCAACTCGAGCGTTCTTTACATTATCTGCATACAGCCTCACCATTTTTCTATATAAGGAAACACCTGGAGGTGAAGTGGAGAGAGTGGTGAAGTCTGCGTCACTACGGCGAGAAAGATCGACTGGAGATACTAAAACAATAGTAAAAGAAAGTTTTGAATCAAAGCTGATGTGAAAAAGATGAAGAGACTGTATGAAAAAGAAGTAAAGAGGTAGAGAATGAGGATCATGTGATCTGCCTTGATTTGGCCACGTTGCAGTCATCGACCATCAGACCATGCTTCCGATTTTGACTTTTCTCCTCCTGTTTCAGCGCATATGGCGCAATATTGAGTGGTGACTCCTGCTGTTCAGGAGAATACTGCAGCGGCTTCTTGCGCCTTGACAACAGCAATAAATGGGTGCATATGTGTGATGAGTGAGCGACGATGAGCGAATAAATATATTGGCACCTTTGAGTGATGCAACTGGACAATGATCCCAAGCTTAGCAGCGTGTCTGCAACAGGTGTTACAGTGGCAAAGTCAAAGTCCAATGTCAACCTGACTGAAATGCTGTGGTGGGGAGTTGAGAGAGCTGTGCATAAACACATGAAATGAAGGAACATTGTAAAGAAGACTGGGCCAAAGTAACTCCAAAATGATGTAACTGATAAAGTCACACAGAAAACCATTAACTGTTAAGGTGGTTCCACAGGCTGCTGAAATGTGAGGTTTATCAGGGTATTGTTATTCATCTGAAGTTGTATTTACATAATTTTAAGATTTTTATTACATGTTGATGCATAAAACCTTAAAAATTAAAAACATTAGTAAAGGTTTGGTACCTGCAGGGTGGATGCCTTCATTTTTACATATAAACACACACACAGGAAGTGCTTTCAACCCTCTAACATCCAATTAGCATACTGAGATTAATCGGACTAGTCACCACTTTGCGTTTAAGGACTCAGCCAATAGCATTAACAGGATGATCAATGTGACGATATTAATCTGTGTTGTGTAGAGATTTCGCATCACATTGTTTCTTTCTCACGTGGCACTTTAATGCTCACTTCTGCTAAACGTTCTGCAAAGAGCACCAGATGTAAACAATCTGCTTGCAATATTACCGCCCACGCGAAGGTTAAAGCTAGTGTGCGATGATTAATATGCCAAACATCTTTCTTTCTTTGATCACGATTCACAACTCTTGATATTTCGTTAAGGGCTTTGTCCTTTAATCCACATAGGTCGAGAATATCTCACATTATCTGAGCTCATTTCAGTGTGAAGGCATGATGGAACGATTTGAATATGGCTGAGATGTTTTATGATCATGAAGGTGCTTTTTGTCTTTCATTCCTTTTCTGTCTCTTCTTCATGGCAGACAGCATGTGGAAGCTCCATCAGTGCACAGCTTGACGTGTTTGTCACAGCCCACGCATTTATTTTATGTCACCACCTGCACCATCTTCGTCTGCTACAACAAAAGCAGTCAACAAATCCTGGTGTTAAATGTCCTAAATATTACCGCAAAGTAGCGCTCTGCCATAGTGCAAATGTTTGGTATCCATCCGATATCAAGTAAATACAAGGCCAGTATTGCTGACTGTATCCGGTCGTTAAGTCTGACATCACTAGCCGTGTCTGGGCCTAAACTCCGCTGCAGGTCCATATATCAAACGATCACTGTGGCTTTCCTTAGTGTTGGTTGACTGTCTGAAGTCTTTCATCTTTAATAAAATGATCAGCGTTCTGCTCTACTAGGTGTAACAATTGAGTTTAACATCCAGGCATCCATGAAAACTGAATTTATGACATTTAACGGAGTTAGAAGTTAGCAGGGAGTTAGCTCGCTAGCTCGCTAGCTTCTATCTAAATACAATATAGCATGTCCTGACTGCGGGGTTTTGGAAACAAATTAAAACGCACAGCTCTGCTATCACTTCCAACATAAATGAAGACAGAAAACTAAACAGCAGTGATGTTTGTAGGGTTACTGAAGTTGGGCTAGCTGGTATATAATGATGTGCTACGTGACCGCTAGCGACACAGCTATGTTAGCATAATATAAACAAGCTAACTTTTTTTCCACTCGATAAAAGTTAACGTGAGTGTTGTCGGTGGTCAGGAACAAATGTAATCGCATGGCAGGATGCTGTAAAAAGACCAAACTTCAGCCAGGAGAACAACTGAGATAATCCATCCACAATACGAGGTTAGTCATTCATATACTGCTGCATGGGCTGGGCTGTAGTTACATCCTAAGGTTTTAAAAACTGAGCTTAAATAAATGATTAGCGGTAATAAAAGCCGAGGGAGGTCAACAGGGATCACTGACTGTTTTAGGAGCTTTTTGAGATCAAATAGAAGAAAATACATAACATTAAACATGTTAACAACACAAAAAGCCATATTAAACGCAGACTACTTTAGGCCCGGAAGTAGGATTCGTCATGTCATCACTTAACGACCGGATTGCTGCTGAAGATTTCTTGAACATTAAAGTAGTCCAGCGATAGCGATTAATACTTCCAACCGTTCTTTTCTTTTGAGTGTGATGAATCCTGCGATTGACATGTTGGAACATGCCCATGCCGTCATGGAAAGAAAAAACATCCTGGTCGTTCGGTGTGTTCAGGTAATCAGCTGACCTCATCTTCTGAGGTCGATCCAACTCCAAATTATAGCACCGCCCCCACAGGCTTGTGCTGTAGGCGGATGCATCACTTTATCCGCCTCTCCTTTTACCCCAGTGCACCCATCACTCTGGAACAGAGTAAATTTGCACTCGTCAGACCACATGACCTTTTTCCAGAGTCCAGCCTCTACTCCCAAGCAGGCTGACATTTTCTTTTTTCCGATTTGCCTCGCCGATATTTAGTTTTTAAGGCTACAGGGCTGTTCAGTCCCAAACTCTCAAGTTCTCTTTTTAATTTAATTTAAGCGCCTTGAGGTGACTTTTGTTGTGATTTGGCGCTATATAAATAAAATTGAATTGAATTGTGCGCGTGGAAATGTTCACTGAGACCTCATTTTGTCCTCAGACATGAAGGGTCACCTCACTCCTTCCGGGCTTTAGAAACAGTCATTTCAGCTGCTTTCTCAATAATTTGAGCTTTACGACTCGCACTAACACTTTTTCCACGACCAGACGTGGCTGTTGAAGAAATAAGAAGCTACTCAGTGCATCACATTGTAATCCAACTTTTTTCACCAAATTCTGAAGCACTGTAATTTTATGTAAAGCAACGGTGCAAGTAAAACATGAATCTCCTGATGCATTAAGACTCTTTTCAGTATGTGATCTGTTTCATGAGTGGCTAAATCTTTTATCTACCTCTCGTGTGTCTCCGTTGTTAGTAGGGGAGAAACCGTACCTGTAAGGTAACACCAAGAGTCGGGTCTTAAGGATGCAATACTTCCCTTAGTTGTAGATTTATTTACCAAACACAAAACTTCAAAACTGCTGAGTGGAGACTTCCAGTCCAGGTGTGCTCCCTGAAGCAGAAAACTGCACGACGTGTCTCAAACACGACAGCTTTGAAGTGCTGTGGGGAAGCGGCGCGTGCACGCGAGCCTCGGGCACTTTGCTTCACTTAGACTGGCGTTGTGGCTGTAGGTTGATGGTATGGAAATGCATTGTGGGATTTCTTTGCTGCTGTTGTGCAGTCTTCTCATGGCAGCTTTCCATTAGCAGCAGCTGGAGGTTCCTATTGGAGGATCAGCTCCCTTCTTTACTGTATCCAGGCAGGTTTGAAGCCACCCAGTGGGGGAATCCACACACTGCAC